GCACGTGCGAGCGTTCCCCATGCACACTCACACGTGCACACGTGTGTTCGAGCGCACGTGCAAGCGTGCCCCACGCACACTCACAAGCGCACACGTGTGTCGAACGCACTTACAAAGTTGCCCTAATTTTTTTAAACACATTTTATAATTCATATTGCATAGGTATTTATATATCAAATTTGAATACCCATCTTTCAGTGTGGGATAATTCCCAAACCTCATTAAATGAAAACGAAATGTAAATATAGTCTATTAATCAGCAATTTATAATTACATGTAGTTAGATGGCTTGATGGTTATGATTTTGAATTTTTTATTTGAGGTCCCAAGGTCGAATTCCCTTGTGCACCCCCTTGGGCATGTGTTGCATTTGAATCCCCTTGGGCATGTGTTGCATTTTTGTTGTGTATATAGTGGTTGGTATAAATATTTTTTTTTATTGTCGAATACCATTGGGCATGTGTTGTATTTTTTTTGTATATATAGTGGTTAGTATAAATATAAATATTTTTGTTGTGTATATAGTGGTTGGTATAAATATAAATATTTTTGTAAATAATATAAAAGACATAAAAAAATGAAAAATAAAAAAATTAATTTTTTATATAACTGTTAATTTTTGTTGTATATAGTGGTATAATTATTTTTGTAAATAATATGAAAGGTATAAAAAAATAAAAATAAAAAGTTTATTCTATTTGAAATCTCCATCTTTCTACTAACAATCTCTTTTACTAAATTTATTATAGAAACCTAAAAAAATAAATTTTTGAAAAATTGAAGTGGTATTTCCAAAGTTGTACGCATTTTATTAATTATTACATTGATAACCAAATCCTTTATTTTATTTATGAATTTTACATTATAAATCATGTAATTTACTATTTTTCTTACAGTTGTCAATAATACATTTTAAATTAGATAATATTATAAAATATTTTTAATTTGTTATTATTTGTCTAATAAAATAATTATAAAATGTAAACTAATAATTATAATTTCAGTATATAATATTATAATTAGTGAGGTTGTAATAATTTTGGATTATAGTTAGTTAGGCTGTAATAGTTTGGGTGTTTTTAGCAGGTTAGGGTTTTTCGCCAAAACGAGATTTTAATGGCCATTCTTTCATTGATTAGTCTACTCTTTATAATAGTCCATATATAATTATATATTTTATCCATGATAATTCTATGATTTTTCTTTTATGTGATGCAAATTTAATAGTTAAAATAAATTTATACAGCGAAAGAACATCTCAATATTCACAAATTGATAAAAAAAAATGAAAGTTAATAATGTAGTACCCTCAGTTTTTATTGGATTCCTAAAAAACAACATTTATAATGAATTTTAATAATTTTTTCGGATTTTTTTGAAGCTTTAATCCGATCGATTCAGCTACTTCCCGATCCGGATAGCCGATTCGCAGATCCGAATCGGTTTTTTAGGTGCCCGATCAGGGTCACAGATCCGTTTTTTAAACCATTGGTTTAAACTAAAGGAACAAATGAACAGTGTTCTCTAGTGGGAGCATAGAATCTATTGACTTTGGTTATGGGCTAATGTTTAAATTATGGGAAAATGAGGAGGATCCAGCTGGTTCAAGGTTGTTGGCCACAGAGTCCGGAAACAAGGTCATACAGAGTCCGGAAAGAACGTGAACTAGTTAATTTGCAACTAAAATTAACTAAATCTAAATATAAATTTGGAAAATTGATTGATTAGCTCTAAACAATGTATGAAAAAAAAAAAAAAAAAAACAAAACAATGAGGTGCTGATTCCATGACAGATTGCATATCTAGATCAGTCCAATTCAATGATCTAGATTTTTTTTTTTTTGAAAGGATGATTAATGGGTTTAATTTACTAACATACTTAATAAAACATTAGAAAAGCTAAAAAGGAAAAAGTTGGAGGGGGGGGTTTCAGATCCGGTTCAGTCCCGATCGATCCGAGTTCAGATAAGGCAACTGCGATGTTTTAATATTGTGCCTAATATAACTTGGGTGGTGAGAAGGTAATTTGGCAACACAGTGGGACAAGAGGTAATATGGATTTTTTATGGTTGTAGGAATTTTATGGGGATATTGGTATTTTCAGTACTTTGCATGCAAGCCATGCGTCACGTATGATTTCCTCGACAATTGCATGGCCCACTCCCACGTTGAATAAAAGAATTTTGTAGTTATTTTATGAAAAATGAAAATTATGTGGCAGAAATAAATGATTATGATAATCCATTATGCAATGTGCAACATTAGGTATGGAGTATAGAGCAGTTGACATGCAATAGTTCTATTTACAAGCAATTTTTTTGCTATTCCAACCTTAAATATGATTGCCAGAAAACCTGGTGCTTCACCTTAATTTGTAGCGAAGATAGCAGACAAATGAGAAATGTTTCAAAATTTGAGAGGAATGTTTTTTAAACAAGGGGAGAAATGTTTCAAAAGTTGAGAGGAATGTTTCTAGACAAGGGGAGAAGTGTTTCAAAATTTGAGAGGAATGTTTCTAGACAAGGGGATCATGATCAGGAATTGCTCATACAAATCATAATTACCCGGAGCTGGTGGCCATGGTTTCGGCTCCGGAATCCAGATCTTGCGCTCTGAAGTTGGGATCACAACCTGAAATCATTTTTTTCAAGGGATCTCGCCCCCTTTTCATGGAATCGCGATTCCTTATTCATAGGGACCTCAATCCCACCTAGTCACAGTGTTCGATCCTTCTATTTGTGGATCTTGATCCCTTTCATGTTCGGATAGCAATCCCGGGATCTGGATCCTTATATTTATGGATCTCCATACTTATCGGAATCTCAATCCATGTATTTGTGGATCTCCATCATTATTGTATATTAATCCCAAACATCAAGAATTAAATTATATAGATTGCGATTGGAGTTGTAAAATATATAAATCATATTAAAAATTAAAATAATTAAAGCATTTAACATAACAAAGAGGAAACCCATCTATTGCATAATGGGATCTAGTTTTAATTTTCGTGAGCATTGAGACTTTGGAACGGGGACCCAATTTATACTGATCGCAATCCTTGGGTATTTGGTGTCAACATTCCAGAAGTGGGAACGACGGTCCTTGCCAAATGGGATCTCTCTCCCATGAGCATTGGAAACAAGAACTTTTATATGTGAGATCCATCTCCAGTCCTTGCCAAATGGGATCTCGCTCCCATGAGCATTGGAAACAAGATCTTTTATATGTGAGATCCAGTTCCAGGATAGATACGCTGTATGGAGCGCACTACCTAAATGCGGGACCTTCTGTCACCCTTCAATCCACCATTCCCACTCTTGCTCCGGCTCCCAGTAACTATGATACATATTAGAATTGGTGGGTGAGTGACCAAGGGCCCTCATGAGCTGTTCGAGATTATTCTTTTAATATTCTTTTATTAAATTTTTGCCGATCAAGATCACGGATTTGGTCAGGTCTAACAGAGGGTTTATTCAATTTGAGGATTCGAATTCTCAAACACAGGATGAGAGTGAACAGTTGTTTTTAAGGGGTTTTAAGTGGCCAAAGCTGCTTAAAATCTTAGACCCCCCACTGCAATCTGATGAGTAGATGTACGGCACCATACCATATCTGTGTTACCAGTTACCACATCTTGCACTCTCCATTTGAATGTAATAATTTCTCTTTGTTCATAGGTTTTCTTGCGCACCAATTTTTGTGCTCGTAGATTTTTTAAAGCTTGAGGTTTTACTAGAGTAAGGTGCAACTCTATGTTTTACGTAAAGATATAGTTCTTATGTCGAAAACTTTACTATAGTTTGAAAATATATGTTCACCACTAATTATAAAATTTATTTATTTATTAAAAATATAAATTGTTATAAGCACTTGAAAATCTTAAAAATAAACATTCCACATAATTTGTAAAAAATACACTATTTTTTTAACTTAAAAATTCCTTTTTCCTTTATAACTTTGGGATTTGAAGCATCCCGATGTTGAAATGATCAAGTGAAAAGTTACTCTTTTCAGAGGATTTTTGAGGTGCATATCACTTTTGTAATAAATGGTTGCAATCTTATATAAGCTTTTTCCTTTCTTGATATCTATTTCTCTCTCTAGCTCTCTCTCAAGTCCATGCTACCAAATTCAGTGATAAAGTTGTCAAAAAGATTGTGTCGCCTTCTCTTGAGAAACCTCATTTATGTTTTACCTAAATCCTCATTTAAAATATATGGGTCAGGAATAAAAGCAAGAAAAAAAAAAGAAAAAAAGAAAAAGTAATAAAATTTAAAATAGCCATTTATGAGTTAATTAGTTCTATTAAAACTAGGAATATCTATGATAATATTTAGCTCGTATAGAGCATAAGGAAAAGATTGAAAAATATTAGATAGAAAATTAAACTGCTACAAAAATTATATTTACTTACAAGTGAAATAAAAATATAAATATTTCTGCTAATCTCTCATGATAAGCATTTTGCAACGCATGTGCCAATAGATAGCTACAATAGAAGCCCTTGTTTTCACTATTCCTATTTGAATATGGGTAGAATATATTGGGACTATTTACTTTTGGTACAAAGTGGCCATAATTAATCTTGACAAATTAGGTGATTGCAATATTTTATTAACCAAGTTCAAAATTCAAAAGAAATTTTTTCGAACTTTGACACATCCAAGCTATCAGATTTGACATCGGATGGTTATAAATAATTGTGACCGCCTTATGCCAAAAGTAAATTGATATCTAGTATTGCCAATCATGCATTTCCTGAGAGTAAAACAAATGGGAGTAGCAATTCCCTTTCAATAAATTCCATAATATAAAAAGCATAAATATATTGCTAATCCTTATTTTGGTGAGGTTTATTGTAGAATCCCCATCTTCTGCTGATTTTAATTTTAATTCTAGGAAAGATTGCTAATTAAAATTTGTATTATTTTAATACCACAGTTCATTCCGGACATAGCAGATGTGGTCGACTTCAACTTTGGGCTTGGGCCGGATCAGCCTCCGACGAGTGCCATTTTTAAGCCGGAATTACAAAGAAATCTTTTATATAAATGCAGCCCAGAAGAGGTAATTCTTTAGTCCCAGCTTTATTTTTTTTCAAGTTGAAATTATAGCTCGTTTAATAATAGATAATTATTTGCTCTCGTGAGAATTGCACGGTAAGCATTTATTATGCCTAGGCAATGAGCCACGCAGCCCGGTTTGACCTGTCTGGCTGGGAAAAACTTGAGCCCGAGCGTTAGGCCACCTCGGCCTGAAGCGGGGCCAATCTTGTGTCAGGGCCCAAGTTTGGCTCGAGGAGCAAAACCCCTTTTTTGTCTGTTTAGGCCTTTTTTGTTCAATTCTACAAGGCCCTTCTGGATTGATCTGTGCTAGGGCTGGACCAGGCCTCGAGCCAAGGCTGACCTACCTAGGCCAGGTTCTTTACCATCCTTACTGTTTATGTGTGCAACGCAATAATTATCCCTTTTTTTCTTTTTTTTTTAATATGTGCATGACAATGATTTTCCATGGAATCCACAGGACTTCACTTTAGCATCCATGCTCCTGAGGCCAGGGCCACTGATGGTTTTACTGGGAGCAAAATTTGAAGGGGATAATTCAGGGAAGGTTGATAAGGTGAACCGTGTTTATATAAAGACTGCAAAAGATGAAGTTTTGAAGCTAGAAAACCAAGAACTGCTGATTAAAAAATGGCCACCAAATGAGGTCATGTCCATTGATACTGATCATAGCCCATTTTTCTCTAAACCCAATGAGTTGCACAAATTGTTGCTCAAGGCCTCCACTATGTATTGTGGCTAAGAAACTCAATGGAGAGTAGGTGTTTATTTATTTATATGTTGATGTTCACCAAATAAACTCAATGAAGTGTAATGAATTTGGTTACTATTATATGGTAGGGAATGGATTAATATTGTTGAGGATTAGGATTATCAAGGTAGAAAGGGGGCCTAGGGGTCTCACATTCATGGGCCTTTTTTTTTTTACGTGTATAATAAAAGGATTTAACTCTCTTTTATTATTTATGTGTGTAATAAAAAGGATTGAACACACAATCTCTCTAAGGATTGAACACACAATCTCTTTCTCTCTCTCTCTCTTTCTCTCTCTCTCTATACATATATTGTTCACATGAGTTACAAATAGGATTGAACACTCCCTCTTGTTTATGTGTGCTCTCTCTGTTTAAGTAAGGAAAAGATTGAACTTTCTCACCTGTTTATATGTATAAGAAAAGGATCTCATAGGGTAGGATTTGTACCGCTCTTTCGTTGGTCATGGATGGAAGCTGCGCTATATTAATTACAAACATATTTACTTTACTTGTTAACAAATTACAAACATATTTAGTACAGTATGGGAAATACAAAATTGAACTTTTTATCTTTTGAAAAATTCACAATTACCTTTGGCCTTTGGATATGAAATCTAGGACCTACAAGCGTATCATGGTTCTGCGCTCAAAGTCCTATAAAAATTCTTCACAAATATATATATATAGGGTAGTGATCTAATGCAACAGTTGTATCATATTATAATGCAATCACACTTCTAGAAAACCATGTTTGTGGTATTTGTATGACCCGAAATTTTGCATACATACTCCCTTCATCTCAATAATCACTCCAAACAAAAAAAATTAGATTTTGGTTGGCAATCTTGTTTGATAAGGAGAGAAGGTTTAGAAGGGAAGATCAACGATGGTTTCGTTAATGTTTAGGGAGGTAGTATTTTATTACTTAATTATATCCTTCATTGAGATAGTAGATTTTTACTTAATGTGTTTGTGGATGTAGCCATTTGAGGTCATCATAATTATGAGAGCATTTTCTTAATTATTTGGGGCAGGCTAGGATGTAGCTCTTTAAGGTGAACCACATAAATCCTTGTGTTATTGGAGTACAATTTTAATATTACATTATTTCTCTCACTCAATTTATGGTTGTATTTGCCTAACCCACTATGCGTAAGATCTTGAGTAAATCCTGATATTTGGGGTTCCAAGTGTACTGCAAATGAGGGAATCTCGAGAATCCAATGGATCTCCTTGTCTCACACCTATCCAGGCCTTTAGAATTGCTTAGCTTGATAAGGATTGGAACAGAGAAATGAGTTTAGGAGAGGCAATGAGGAGCCAAGTTCTCCATTTACTGCCAAAGCCTGTTGATTCCATAATGTTTGAGGCGTAATCCCAACCAACTCCATCATAGGCATTTTTCAACATCTACTTTCCATATAATCCCTAGGATATCAGTCATGTGTTGCAAGTATCCACACTCACATGCGAATGGAGCACTGTCAAGTATCCGGTTTATTCCGATACGGGGGCGAAAAAAAATACGCCCTCTACTGCTACTGTCAAGCGTGTCACCAAGAGACTTTTGCAATGATTTGTATGCGCTTCCAAAAAATAGGAAAAATATGTTGTATGAAGATCAAATTGCTTTCTTTTGGATGCTTTTGGTTCCCTCATAAAAAGGAGAAGTTAAGATGGACAAAAGACACAGTGATGTGCTGCAAGTGTCCATAGGACTCCATATTCAGATGTTAACAAAGGACTGTTCAAGTATCCTGTACACAACGATACTGGGGCGACGAAAATGCATCCTCCACTCTTGTTCAAAACATTGATTGCATGGTAATGAAGTGTATGATGGCCTTTTGACGACCATGTTGCTCATAAAAGGATTTTCTTTCTATAATGTGGTCAACATTAATTATTCTATAACTTCCCAATAGATAATTATATAATATTGGTTTCTATCTTTTGATTCTTTTATAAGATTTTCATCACTATATGGTTCATTATGAGTCATTTTACATTGTCCACATAATCATCATAATCATCATAATCTTGTAAACATGGGGTTAACATTGGATAGAGCACTATCTAGAAGTACTTTTTCTAAAATATTCTAGTCATACATAGTATATGTAAGTGCCTAAATGGATATGGATGTAGATTTTAAATTTTTTGAAATAATGAAGCCTCTAACATTAAGTAGAGACCATCCAATTTTTTCGACAGTCTCAATATAAATAATAATCAAAGAGATAAAGGGTTATCCCTTATGATTTTGGATGTCTAATTAGAACCTTATCTTCCCCATTCCTTAAAAAAATGAAGCTAATTATCATAATTTCTCATTATATTTCATTAAACTCAATATGCTAACTGCCCCAATCTTTCCGCTTCATTAAGTATAATCATCCAAATGAAGACCATATATCGTTATCATTATTCGAGCTTTATTCCAACTATTTGGAATCCGTTGCATGAACTCGATTTCACCATTAAATTAGGATTCATAATTAGAATATAAATTTTTTTTTTTGCCATACAAACCACCCTCCTTTCTCATCCTCAGTGCCTTGCAATGAACCCTCACTCCTATCATTGCATATTGAAGACATATTAGTGGAAGAAGTCATATTAATGAGTCTTCACCACTACAGCAAATAAATTATTATTACCATTGCAGCAAATAAAATATTATTAGATGGCTAATAAATGCTTTCTATCATGCTAGCATATGCAATTAATCTTCCATATCATAATTACTACCTCTTTACAAATAAGTAAAATTTCAAACGCATTTGATTGAAAACACTAAAGTCATAGACGTGTCGATACCCCC